TCTGATGGGAAAAAACTATACCCGGACAATCGTATTCAGTGTTATGTTTTGAATAAAAACATAACTGTCAAGCATTTTTGCAAAATTTGCTTCTGGACTGACTGCCTTCCGGAAGTCAAGTCTTCTTAGTCCTGGTGTCAGGTCAACTTTGCTGCTCATTTCGAATTTCAGCGCTTCTACCTAAAGGATATAATATTAGTCTTTTAAAGAAGCACAGCAACTCACAGGTCTAAGTCAATGTTTTAAAAAGGTCAAATGACGAAGAGGAGTAAAACTAACAATTACAATTCTGCATCGTTTGTTTGCGTCACAAACATTATGCAAAAAATCAATACACTTGATGAGAAAATCTTTAGCGTAATTTTTTTAATAATTATTTCTCTAGCATTGATTTAACTCGTCATAAGCCGGGTGAATTAGAGAGATTCTGAAAAGGTTGGAAAGGAAATAAGACTAAGCGCGTACTGACTTCGACGTCGACAAAGCGCAACTTCATGATCATCTGTAACAATCGGTCGCCTTCAGATTCCAGCTCAAATTTCGCGAGACCATTTTTGTCAAGTGGTAGGAATATATACATGCAAGTTACGTTGTCAGCGAAAGGTATTCCAAGGATTTGTACATCTTCGTTATCACCAAAGAAGTAGCTGGTAAATACTTCGCCCGGCATAAATGGAAGCTAAATATTTTCTTTCATTGGCAGAGACCGCTCAGTCAACAAAAAACTTTTATTCAAAAAAACCAACTCAGAAAATTATAATTTTTAATGACAAAGCAGACAGAAAAAAGAGCAACCTTAGCAACACTTTCTCGATTGGGTCCAAAATCTCTTGTAATTGTCTTCTCAAGTTTGAATTTGTTTTTCCATCGCTGATCGTAAAATGATGCATTCACAAGAAAAACGAAAGAATTGGTGCTGAATGACATCTCTCCAACAATCCTTTCGCTTTTAGGCCTTGCAGCCTGGAATTCCTCGCTCTAAAGAAAAGTCATTTACACTTTTTTTTTTCGTTTACTGTGTTTTGATCTGTCTTGACCACTGAATAGGATTTTAAAGCAGATACGAGAGTGTTTGAGGTTGAGGTCTAAATAATCTACTTCATAATCAACCAAAGCTTACTGTAATGCGTTCCATAAAATCGTCATAGTTCTCAACTTGTAGTTTACCATTCAAAAATGTTCTTAATTTTTCAAGAAACATTTCTTTAATGACAGTCTCGTTGCTTTTCTGAAGCAGGTGAACAGCATTGATACAGAATAAGCTGTTAAGTGGACAACTTAATAGCTCATCAAATTCTTCCTTCCATGACGCCAACAATTTATCGTCAGTAACATTTTCACCTAATGATTAACTGTTAAGTACAGATTTTAAATTGAGGCATCCAAATAATGCATAAACTAAGTTTAAAACAGTTCTGCTGCATACTATTAGACGCCAATTGTAGCAGTTTTTAATATGACGATTAGCAACAAGCAAAATTTTCTTTAACTACCTGATGTATCCGGATAACGTAATGTATGCATAATTTCGTCCGCAGTATCGCCATCTGAACCCAATCGTGCAATGGCAATAAATAATGCAGCAAAAACTGGCGAAATTACAGCACTGTTACTGGTAGGTCCAGACTGTCGCCATACTCGAAGTGCAAAATTCCATTTAGCTTGATCAACTGGATCAGCTACATTTCTGAAAAGAAAATGTTTGACTCACAGCTGAGTTGTATTTGAAAACAAAGTTTCTTTAACACTTTTCTTGTTACTTTCAAACCTTTTAAGTAACTGTTTTAATCTGAAGAAAGACTGATATGACCAAACAATAATTTTAGTGCTGTATCAGCAAAAAAAATATGGCAGATTCCGTTCAACGATATTCAATATTAAAAATCTGAAAACGTTTTAAAAAATGTTTAAAACACGTGAATTTTTTGTTTCTCGAAGACTTCAAAAAAGAAAAAAAAGTGAATTTTGAAATAAATTTTTTGTGAAGAAAAAAGATGATGTCTTAAGTGTTATACGATAAGTTTTTGTTTTCTTTTCACTGTTTTTTTCTTTTAACAAAATGTCAAATAACCAAAAAATGAATCAATAGACGTAACAGTGTTTTTTAAAATATGACAAATAATACCCAAATCTACTAGCAAAGGCAGAATGTTTCAATTTAATTTTTTTTTTTCAGAGAGCATAAGAAGGTAAGGTGCAAAGGGATTTACCTATTGGTGTCACTGCTACAGCGAGAAGCGCTTTAAAAAAAAAAAAAGCTTCTCAAAAAACTTTCTGAAAAGTTTTCTTTATTTTTTTAAATGTGATCGTTCAGCAGAAATAGAATCAGTGTTTTCTTAATCAAATAACAAGTTTTTTCTTTTTTTCAAAGGATAACTTTAGCTGGAATTTTGTAGTTGAACAAAAGCTGACAGCGGAAAAACCACATCTATTAAATTTGCCAAAATGTGTGAAAAGTGCAACAAATGGTGAAGCTTTACAGCAATAAAGTTTTTTTTTTTTTTTCAGTAGGCAAAAATGCAGTGCTGAAAAAGATTGAAATTTTCATGAAAAAGTTTTTAAACAAAACTATTGACTGTGTGTAGTTTAAAAGACTACTTTTGATAGTTTTCTAGACTGATAAACAGTTTACAACGACTAAAAGAAAACAGAGTTGTTAACAGATATCTTTGATGTTAGCGTTATCAAAGATTATCAAAAAAAAATTCTTTTGTCAAAATTTTTTAATAGAAGAGTTACAAACAAAGTTAAAATTGTACAGATTTCGTTTTTCAGCAGAAGCTACTGTCGAATTTTCTCCTTCTATTATCCTACAAGCAACCGACAGAAAGATAATCATTATCCATAGTCCAAATACCGGTTTCATGTTCGGCGATGACAACAGTAAAATGGTCACCAGATAACTAACAGTAGTTTAGCGGCTACAGTTTTTTTCAGCTAAAAACTGAAAAAAAAAAAAAAAAAAAAAAAAAAA